CCCCACAGTTTACTTATTTGCTACAGAGCCCGCTGCCTCCCATTCCATGATGTAGAGTCACTTCCGACGGGGCTCCGTTGCAAAAGGGAAGGTCAACTGGCATAAGCCACTGTAGCAACATAAGAGACTTCCTTTGTTGAATTGAGATCAATGTGAGGAAGTTGGGCAGTTAATGCTTCCCCCATGGAATGAGGTGGTGGGTGAGTTGGGCGATGCGGGGTGTGAGGCGACAGGTTCCCCATGGTCCCCGACGGGCATAGCTGGATTCACCACAATGCATGGTGATACTAATGGCCTGTCTGATGAGTTCATAATTATCTTTCAAAAAATATGGCTTTGGAGCATCATGCTCTCTTTTAGATTGCACACTTAAGTACTCTTCTTGATGAATTGATGCAGAAACTACCAACTAGTCACATTTATTGCACCAAATGTTAATCCTCTGATGAATTTGCCTACAAATGAATGCTCACCTTTCCAAAAGGACTGTGATAAAACCTTTCTCCAATTGACATGGTTAAAAAGAGGTTTTTGCATTCTCTTCTGTTAAAATGTATCTGATTGTGTTTACTGATTATCTGAAGCCACACTTTTCACATTCAGGTTATTTATGTTGCTGGACATAAATTTATTCCTTAGAAGGCATTAATATTAATTATAGGGCTTGTCTATACTCGACACAAAACACTCATATTCACTGTTAATGGACCTCTGATTGTTTTCATGACATACAGCAGCTTCCAGGAAGTATTCTGGTTTTTTCTTTCTCTTTAAATGGACTTTGCATCACTCGTTTAAAACTCCAGTGTATCTTAGGACTTCAAGACAGTCTGGACAGCTGGATTGGGTCAGTATGGGGAAAGGGATGGACCATACCTGTGTTGCCACTTCTAGCTGGCCATGGAGTTCCACTTGTGTTTTTTTTATGAGATATATATATATATATCTTACACACTTTTTTTCCCTTTTTCCTTCTATCTGTGTTTGTTTCTCCCCCTCCTTCTCACTTTTTCTTTTTTTAAGTGCTTTTTCTTTTTAACAATGTCACAGAAAACTCAATAAAAATATTTTTTTTAAAAAAGAACTGGAGGCTGTTCAGATGGAAACAAGAAGGAGAGACTGGCCCACTCCTTTCTACTGGTTGTGCAGATACTCTGTTCTGACATCATCAGATGTGAATCAAGTTTTGGACAGAGCTCTGCGGCTGGCTAGAGTGGTGGCAGCAGCAAAATGGAGGAAGTGAGAGCCCAGTGGTGCTAATCCAGTCTGAGTGGTCTGGACAATGGCTCCAGATTCATCATGTGCTGGATTCACGGCTGCTCCAGACAAATTTACGCCAGGCTGACCTGCCCAGTGTAGATGAGACCTTAGCTTTAGTTGTCATTGCCACACCCAGTGTGAAATTTCTCTATTATTTTGTCAACTTACTAAATACCTGTTTTATGCATCAGCTAGAGCTTTTTTTGCAGGATGCATGACTTAAGGTGGTGTTTTACTTGCTATAGCCCAGTGGTGTCAAACCTGTGGCCCTCCAGTTGTTTTAGACTTCAACTTCCAGAATTCTTGGCCATTAGTAGTTGGAGGCCCAAACATCTGGAGGGCCACAAGTTTGACACCTCTGCTATAGCCTTTGCTAGCAGCAAGTAGACTATAAGCTCTATGGGTTAATGGTTATTATTTAATATCACATAAAGTCAAGGTAGTGTTATGGTCAAATATTTGGTTCTTACTGGAAGTTACTTTTGATTATACAAATGATGATGCCAGTGAATACAGACCTTTTTTTCCTACTAGAAGTTACCTATCTTGTGTTCTGATCATTCGACCAGTTGCAGCACTGATAGCATGTTTGTAGACTATGCTGCTGTAAGAAGTGTATACAGCTGTTACGTGGATGTAGCGGTCTGCAATGTATAATATTTCACCTTGTCTTTATACATTAGACATTCATTTAAAAGCAAATACAGCATTTGAAGAAGCTGTTCTGTCTTCAGTTTTCAGTAAATATGCCAGTTCCACCTACATTTTTGAGAGAGGCTTGTTACTGGCTATGCGTGATACACAGAGGCTATGATAAAGGACAGATTTCTAATTTAAAGCTATGATCAATCATCTAGCCATTGGTACTATTCTTCTCTTCATTGACACATGAGCAGTTATGATGTTCTACTGTGCCAGCTCAATTGAACTAAGATAAAAGGGTATATGTATAAAAGAAAGAGGGTAGGTCACAAAATCCCTACCTGCAAAGGTTCTGGAGAGATGCTTTTATCAGAGATAGATACATGTTAGAATGTTTGGTTGACATGTATGGCTGAAGAATCACATTTACATGTAAGCAAGCTCTTCTTGACTTTGTTTCATGTACATAACCCTAATGAAATCTGAGGATCTAAGGATAAGATTGAAAATAATATTTGCTTATTTGCATTATTAGCAAGAATCAATTTATCATCTGATTTGGATTGAAAACAGCATGCTATCAAAACAGGCCTGACTCTTTTGAGGACTTGTTCAACCTTTTCACATTTTCTCAAATTGTTTTAGAATCAGAGCAAAGGTAAACATAGAAACAAATTACAGAAATAGTTGCTTCAGTCTCTGAAAGTTATCAAGTGTACAGAAGCTTTACATATTTCTTTTGCACAAATCCATAGAATAACAGATTATTTCAGTTCCTTTCGAAGCTCAAAGAAATGACTCTCTTTCTCGTTAGCCTCTGCATAGGTTCAGATGTTATACATTGTGGTAATTATTTCCAAATCACAAGTGCAAACACTCACCCTGATTGGAAAATTAGCAGATTTCAAACTCAGGTAATTTGTCCTTAATGAGGAACTTGTTGAACTGAATTTAACAATTATCTCACTCCCTTTGCTGGCTGAATATGGTAGGGTTATGTGGAAGAGATCAAACATTCATCATTTGCAGCCAAAAGAAAAAGAAAGGAAGGCTATAACCCGATGAAGATTCATTGTACATTCCATTGAATTTATGTAACTTATTTCTGAATGTGCGTACATAGAACTGGGTAGTTTTAAAAATCTGTATTATTGAACATGGAGCTTTTATCACTCTCATGTTTTGCAGAGTCAATCAGTGCCTGTGATTCATGAATGTGGAAGGCAGTTGGTCACTCTTGAAGGTGATAAGGAGCCAGTGAGCACAGACCTTTTTTGGTTCTACTATACATTTATTCAAATAGCTTTGGCCAATATTCTAAGCATTTAAAAAACATGCAAAACCTATTTGTGTTCTCATTTTTTAAATCCATAGACAACAGTTCCTGAAAATATAATTTGTCCTCTGATACTGACTAATAGCATTGGTATACATTAAGAGCGTTGGAAGGGTCTCCATGGACCATCAGAACCAACTGCCTGCTGAAAGCAGGATCTCCCAGCTACAGCATCCCCTGCAGGTAGTGTCCAGTCTGCCATTGTAGATGTCCAGAAAAGGAGACCTCATCACCACTCTAGGCAATTGATTCCAATGCTGAACTACACTCACAACCAAGACATTCTTCCTAATGTTCGGTCGAAATAAACCTGTTAGACCTATTTTACATCTACATTGCAGTACAATCTTATTCCTTTTCACTCAGAACAAAGTCTTCCTGTGTTTGAAAGAGCTTACTTCCAAGTAAGAGGACATATTTCCTTATGCACCTAATTTTGAAGTGCAGGCAGTGAAACCATAGTCAGTGAAATGCTGTATGGCAAACTTTGGCTTGGTGGAGGCATAACAATCTCACAGTGATAAAACATAAATATACTTTCTTTATATTCCGCTCTATTTCCTCGAGGGGACTCATAGTGGATTACAGAATACATATATGGCATAACAGTGCTCCATACAGTCATGCTGTCATGCTGGCCACATGACCTTGGAGGTGTCTATGAATAATGCTGGCTCTTCAGCTTAGAAATTGAGATAAGCACCAACCCCCAGAGTTGGACACGACTGGACTTAATGTCAGGTGAAAACCTTTACCTTTACCTATATGGCAAACATTCAGTGCTGTTATACAATTAACAATGAAGACAGACAGTACATGGACAGAGGCAAAGATTCCCTCTTTTTCCAGCATCTGGAGGCTGTGCTTGACTCAGTCATGGGGAAGTGCTGTTTTTCCATTTTTCCATGCTGAGGAACCTGTTGTCCATGGACGCCTTCCTGATCGAATTGCAAGCATGTCTTCAGGGGCGCCTTTTACCTCCCCTCCAAAGCTGTATCTATTTATCTAGTCATATTGCTGTTTTTGAACTGCTGGGTAAGCAGAAGCTAGGGGTGACGGCAGGAGCTCGCCTCGACCTGTGGCTTAAACTGCTGACCTTCCAGTTGGCAAGGTTTTCTGTAGCTGGCAATTTAATCTACTGTGCTAACATTATATATTGAGCTATAGATGAAAAAAATGCCTTGTAGATATTTCAGATTACAAACCACTTGTGAGCTATGCTGGCTAATAAGTGGTTTGTTAGAAACTGATCCAAAATATCATCTAGAAGCTTCCTCACACATTAGACCAGAACCAAGCATTGTATACATGTAGACATTCTATTTTATACTTTATTTCATCTACTATAATACAACAGTTCTACAGTTCGTTAAGTCATTGTTTACTAATATGTTCTGGTGGTTTGATATCCTTATAGGTACCAATCAAACGGCGCTCCATGCAGTCATGCCGGCCACATGACCTTGGAGGTGTCTACGGACAACGCTGGCTCTTCAGCTTAGAAATGGAGATGAGCACTACACCCCAGAGTCAGACATGACTGGACTTAATGTCAGGGGACTACCTTTACCTTTACCTACCAATCAAAAGAATAAATCATAGTTTCTTGGTCTGGAAATTACAGGAAATAAAACATCTAAGTCTTCATAGAACATATGGATCAGTTCTTATTGGAAGATAAATTGCAATAAGGCAATGGAACCTTACATTTTTTTTCATGACACTTAGTTATACACAGAACCAGAAAAAGAACAAAAAAAAATTAAACTGCACGTATACTTTTTATTGACCATAGATCTTAAGAACAAGGTAGCATGCACAGTTTTACAAAGTCAATAATAGTTCCAAGTGGGAAGGGATAGATACATTCATATCTTTGGTCCACTCTTCTATTCCGCCCCACAGAAACAGTAGCGCCTAAGAAAATGGATCCCGTCTTGCTCTTTCTTTTTGTTTGCTTATTACTGCCATATCTTAGTTCAACTTCTCTATGCCAGTAAAGCTGTACATATATATAGGATGAATCTTTAAACAGATTTTTATTAATGTAATATGAATTATTATTTAGCTATCATGAATATAACAAATGAATTTATTCTAATTTAACAATTTCCAATTTGGAGCAAAGGTCTATTAAATATATAATTTAATGACAAATTATGGCATTTGTTTAAGCCATGATATTGGGAAATAATTCATTTTGTGGTCACACCTTTTACAGAATCATAAAATCATTGAGTGGGAAGAGATCTCATGGGACATCCAGTCCAATCCCTTGCCAAGAAGCAGGAAAATCGCATTCACGCACCCCCGACAGATGGCTATCCAACCTCTGTTTAAAAGCCTTCAAAGAAGGAGCCTCCACCACACTCTAGGGCAGAGAGTTCCACTACTGAACAGCAATGAGCAATGAGCTGAAGAGCTCATTGGCTGTATGTAAATATATCTAATATCATTTACCACTCCATAGATGCAGCCAGATGACTGACAAGTTTGTATGAATTTATTTCATTTGTATTAATAATACTTCCATTGGTAGAGTTTGAAGGATGAGAGAAGTCCCTTTGCAAAAGAGCAGGTCCATTGGCCAATACCCAAACAGAGGGCGAGGCAACATCCAAGATGAAACACCTAAATTTGTGGTACATCTTTTTCAAAGATGTTGCTATCCTCACTGATCTTCCTTTTCAGTTCTTCACCCTTAGTTTCCTGGTCTGGATCAAGTGGTAGGTCCAGGTCATCATATCTTTTTCTATAGACAACTCGTGAGATCAAAGTAATAAGAAACATTTCCATAATGAGCAGTTGTTGGTTTATATCTGATAAATAAGGAAAAGAAAACATGGTAGGCTTATGGATAGGCAGTGAATTCGAATGAGTGCAGACCTTCTTGTGGTAAGTCGTTAGAATGGCAAATGTCCACAAACTCAACAATAGTGGATTTTTACACTAGACCTGTAAAAACAGAGCAAATTATTCCCTTTCTTACTTGAATGCCCAGAGTTTTGATAACTGGTGGTTCTATTTGTGTTTGAGTTTGGATCTGGTGACAATTTTTCTGTAAAAGGAGACCTAGAATCACTTGTAATTATCTAAGGGAAAATGTGTATGGTTGGTTGTTGAGTGGAAGATCATGGGAAATGGCTTATAAATGTTAAAATAAGAAGTAAATAATACTCTTACCAAGCTTTCCTTATAAGTGGAGATTAGCAAGTTACTTTAAAAAGTAATTAATTCATGTTTTAGGTTCCAAGGTACCCACAAAGCTGTTGACAACTCTTATAGTTGCTGTACTATTATAGTTGCTGAACAAACTGTGCTCTGGTACCACAAGATGCAGAGCTAACCTTAAGAAATGGGGCTACAAAGTGGAGTCCACAACATGCGAGTGTGGAGAAGAGCAAATTGCAGACCACTTATTACAATGCAGTCTGAGCTCTTCCACATGCACAATGGTGGACCTTCTCACAGCGACACCAGAGGCACTTGAAGTGGCTAGCTTTTAGTCAAAGGACATTTATTATAATGCCAAATTTTTAACTTTGAGGTTTTTCTATTCATTTTAACTATTGTAATTCAGCCCATGGTTGTGGCTGATATCTATGTATCTCTTGCTACTAGTATACAACTAGTTACTTTCAAGCTCTGGCAATATACTACCACATATAAAATGAATGACTATTTAGTAATCAAGTGGTGCCTTATGCATCATATTCCATGTTCTTGAACACTTACCTGGAAGCAAATTCCATTTATTTCAGCTAGGAAATTATTTACAAATAAATAAGCTGAAGACTGCAGTCTATGTTTTCATATATGAAACTTACATTTGTCTTTGAGCTTTTCTAAAGACACTTATATGAACATTAGCTGTTAAGATAATATATAAAAAATGTAATACAGACATTTGCATTCAAATAAGCAGCCTGGCCAGCGTAGCTATTACATTTGCATTGCTAAGTAACTGAAACAAAAACAGAGGGAAAACATTCTTACAGCCCAAAGCTATACATGTTTATGAGTTGTACTGTATTCAGTTGAAGTGTTTGAAGTTCAATAGTGGGGAAATCCAAACAGGGTAAATGTGGTGCTAGCTGCCCCTGAATAGCTCTTTCCATGATTTAATTCCAGTTCATATGACGTGCATAATTTCAAAGTAATGACTAACTATTCCTGAATATCTTGCTCTGTCCCTAGTATTCCTTTTTTCACTTTGTGGCATAAAAGCAACAATTTAAATTTGATCCATCTGTTGCTTCTTTGGGGTATATATGTCAATTGTCCTACAAACAGAAACTATTTTTGTTTCCCCCTGCCTCTCCAATACTAATGAAGTTGGGTTGTTGTAGGTTTTTCAGGCTGTATGGCCATGTTCTAGAAGCATTCTCTCCTGACGTTTCGCCTGCATCTGTGGCAAGCATCCTCAGAACACTAACAACTACCATGTCAAGCTACACAGAGAAGCTACTGAAATCCACAAGCATGTGGACAATTTCAACAGAAAGGAGGAAACCATGAAAATGAACAAAACCTGGCTACCAGTATTTAAAAACTCTAAAATTATAACAGTAAATAAAGAACAAAACTCAAACACTGGGGAACTCCAGAGAAGAAACAACCAGGGACAGCTAATCACCTCTCAACAAAGGATTATCCCAGACAGTAACAAGCCACACCTAAAAACTGTCAGGTCATCAAATGTTAATCAAGGTGGTCAACTGAAGCATTCACACCTAGCTCCAACAGAGAAGAGTTCTTTCTCCCACCTGGGACTTTCCACAGATATATAAACCCAATTTTCCTAGTTTCCAACAGACCTCACAATCTCTGAGGATGCCTGCCATAGATGCAGGCAAAACATCAGGAGAGAGTGCTTCTAGAATATGGCCATACAGCCCAAAAAACCTACAACAACCCAGTTATTCCAGGCATGAAATCCTTTGACAATACACTAATCATATTCTTGCTTCATTAGCAATCCCTGCCTCCTCTTGTGCATCTTGTCAAGTTCCAGCTGTATTTTCTGGCTAATTTCTTTCATGCTTGCTTATGAGGAACATATGCCCATGCAACCTTCTGGTGTCTCGTTGGGCAGAAGAGTACCTCCTGGTTCTTCCTACCATAACTGCCTGACTGTCTTACTCTTCCCACCTCCTTTCCCCATAGATATCACAAATTGTCACCTCGAATGTATGAATGAGAGAGGGAGATGAAATGAAACCTAGCATGATAGATGCTCACCTCTTCTAAAGTAATTTAAGGGCGGGCAATGTAATGGAATAGACTGAGAAGAGAAAGGGAAAATATGTGATGTTTATATGAGTAAACATACTGAAGCCAGGCACAAAATCCACTCTTGTTCTTTCTGTCAGCAGAACTTGAAAATTGGAGGATTAAAAAGCTGATGATTGAGATTAACTCTAAATGTAATCCCATTGTGTGTTTTCCCCAAAGCAAAGATCCAAGGATACCTGTGTGGGCATTTCTCCAATGGATTTGAGAGAGCAACAAGAGTGACACTTACAAGATAGTAAGAGTCCCACTCGCACACCTCTGTGACTCTTTACTTCAGATTACTTACTTCTACCAAGATAATAAGGCACTGTACATCTTGGACATTATGATGATTTAGAGCAGTGTTTCTCAACCTGGGTGTCGGGACCCCTGGAGGGGTCGCGAGGGGGTGTCAGAGGGGTCGCCAAAGACCATCAGAAAACACAGTATTTTCTGAAGGTCATGGAGGTTCTGTGTGGGAAGTTTGGCCCAATTCAATCATTGGTGGGGTTCAGAATGCTCTTTGATTGTAGGTGAACTACAAATCCCAGCAACTACAACTTCCAAATGTCAAGGTCTATTTTCCCCAAACTCCATCGGTGTTCACATTTGGGCATATTGAGAATTCGTGCCAAGTTTGGTCCAGATCTATCATTGTTTGAGTGCACAGTGCTCTCTGGATGTAGGTGAACTACAACTCCCAAACTCAAGGTCAATACCCACCAAACCCTTCCAGTATTTTCTGCTGGTCATGAGAGTTCTGTGTGCTAAGTTTGACTCAATTCCATTGTTGGTAGAGTTCAGAATGCTCTTTGATTATAGGTGAACTACAAATCCCAGCAACTACAACTCCCAAATGTCAAGGTCTATTTCCCCAAACTCCATCAGTGTTCACATTTGGGCATATTGAGAATTCATGCCAAATTTGGTCCAGATCCATCATTGTTTGAGTGCATAGTGCTCTCTGGATGTAGGTGAACTACAACTCCCAAACTCAAGGTCAATACCCACCAAACCCTTCCAGTATTTTCTGCTGGTCATGAGAGTTCTGTGTGCTAAGTTTGACTCAATTCCATTGTTGGTAGAGTTCAGAATGCTCTTTGATTGTAGATGAACTATAAGTCCCAGCAGCTACAACTCCCACAAGACAAAATCAATACCCTCTTCCAATTCCACCAGTATTCAAATGTGAATGTATTGGGTATTTGTGACAAATGTGGTCCAGTGAATGAAAATAAATCTTGCATATCAGATATTTACATTACTATTCATAACAGCACCAAAATGGCAGTTATGAAGTAGCAACTAAACTAATTTTATGGTTGGGGGTCACCATAACATGAGGACGTGCATTAAGGGGTCGTGGCATTAGGAAGGTTGAGAACCACTGCTTTAGAGTTTAGGGGCCAACAACATTGGAACACCACAGGGTCATTACACAAGATGATTTCCATATTAACCATGTCCATTTTAAGATAACTGAAACAACTAAAAGAATGTGAGAAGTATTAGAGACCATATGGGAATAATGATAATTTTTAGGTGAAATAATTTGAATAGCTATATTAATTTAAAACAAAACAGTTTTTTAAAAATTCTGAAGTATTCATAACTATGGGGAGCATGCATCTATCTGTGCATTTCTCCACAGTGAGATTGGTGACTACTTCTTTCTCATCCCCACTCCCCCCCCCCCAAACCCCAGATAAGCCAGTTTAACATGGTAGTGGGGTAGCAATGCTGGCTGGAGGCTTAGCAATTTAAATCCATATAACTTACATGCACCTCTTGCTGAAGATGAAAGTGGAGGTACACATGCAATCACCCCCTGCATAGCCAATATGTTGATGATGGTTGCTTGAAGCTGACTCAAAACAAGAACAAACTGCAGGAAGAGAAAGAGTGATTATATAAGATGAGAAGCCACTTTTGCCTTGGAGTAATTGTGCTTTAATAAAATAACCCAATTTAAGTAAAAAATAAGGAGATATATTTTCCTAATAAGGAGACATGCAAAAAAGTTGTACTTTTGGAGCAGATCTGGGAAAGCTATTTTAATAAGATTGAGTGTAACAAAATGCTGAAGCTATCCCTAACTGGGCAGTGATAGGATAGTGATCTAGGGCTCATTATTTCATTCATGTTTTGAGTCCCGCTTTGAGTCCCCCCAGGGGTGAGAAAGGCGGTATATAAATACTGTAAATAAATACTGTAAATAAATGTTTCTTTAAAGTAACTTTGACGGCGACACAATGAGAACACCACCCTTGGTCATTCATATTGAGGGAGGCTGTTGCACTCCAGGACAGGAAATGCCCTCTGACTTTAAAGACCACACGGTTGAGTAGAAAAAAACAATCCTTTTATTGAAGATAATTAAAAAGCAGTAAAGTAAAAAGCACTTGAAATACAATTAGGTGAGAATATAAGCAGGAACAAAATAGTCCACAGTAATCGTCTAGCAAAGTCCATCAAAATCAAGTCAAAACTTCCCAAATAAAATGCAAGGAATTAGGAAACAGGGTTCCAAAGCATGAACATAAAAGCATAGGATCTAGGAATCAAAACCATGAAACAAAAGGCACTTAATCATGAATCTTCCAAGCAAGGTTTCTATGAAACAAGGACGAGAACTTAACTTGATTCTAAGCAATGCTTCATTTGACTAGATTCCCTGTACTTGGAACTTTTATCCCCTCGTTAAGCTATCCCAAGCACTCAGAAATTGGTTTCGCTTTAATTGAGATTCCTTTATTTTCTTCTGTCTGAGCCTGGCAGAAGGCCGAATCCACTATTCGGCTTGTCTGTTTTGACTAATCTCCTGCTGTCTATCTATTTGCTCATTAACTTTTGCAGCTGGGCCAGTTGCCAAGTTGTTTTCCAGCCCCAAATCCTGGGAACTCTCTGGTAGCAATTCAGGGAGTACACTATCATCCCCACACCCTTCAGGGACATTCTCATGGGAACCTACACTTTGAACAGGGATCTGATAATTCTCTGCATCAGTGTCATTGACCAAACCAATGCCATCTTTAAATTCATTGACATCACTCCCCACATCCAAAGCACCCTGATCCTGAAACACAATCACAGACAGAGCTCCAGCAGAGGCATTGATAGTATAAGTTGGTAGATCCTCCACATGTGAAATGGAGGTCTCTCTGCAAAGATGAAAGTAATAAAATATGAGAGCAAATAAAATGTTAGGTAGAAGTAAACCTAAAGGTTTTCCCCTGACATTAAGTCCAGTCGTGTCCTACTCTGGGGATTGGTGCTCATCTCCATTTCTAAGCCAAAGAGCTGGAGTTGTCTGTAGACACCTCCAAGGTCATGTGGTTGGCATGACTGCATGGAGCGCAGTTACCTTCCTGCTGGAGCAGTATGTATTGATCTACTCACATTTACATGGTTTCAAACTGCTAGATTGGCAGAAGTTGGGGCTAATAGCGGGAGCCCACCCCGCTCCCCGGATTCAAACCACCAACCTTTCAGTCAGCAGGTTCAGCAGCTTAGTGCTTTAAGCCACTGCACCACTGGGGGCTTCAGTAAAATGTGAAGTGACAGGTATCTAGTGAAATGTTATGGAAACACTGTCATTTTGTTAGCTAAAATTTTATATTTTATTCTTTATTGTTTTTCTAATTTGTTTAGGACAATTGTGGTATGCTTAAGCTGGTTAGATACCTTTAGGAGAATTCATTGCCATGATATCCAGAGGTATGTAGAGGCTGGACGGAGAGGAGGAATCACCAATGAATTGACAGCATTGTATACACACTTCAGGTTTCGCTTTTCAACAAAGTTTTAACTTTCTCACCTGATAAAGTGCAAATTTTGGAATAATCTTCTTGCAGTTAAGGAGAACTCTCACTTGTTGGAACATAATTCCAATTGGCCAAAGGGCAATGATTGTAAGGACACCGATGAAACAGTTAATCCATATGGCTGCTCCACTGAGAGATAACTGAAAGACACAATGACTCAAAATGTAACTTATAGCCCACATCATGTTACAGTCTGCCTTCTGGAAAAGATTACTCATGCAAAAATTTAAATTTGTGCTCGCTTCTAAAGCAAAATAAGGCACCAGATCCTGCCAGATCTCGGAAGCTCAGCAGGGTCAGGCCCAGTTAGTACTTGGGAACTGTCAAGGGCTACCAGGTGATGTAGCTTATACTTCAAAACAAGGCAAACTTCCTCTTAATATTTCTTGTCTAAGAAAATTCCACAAAATCCCAAGCAACATGAAAATGCAGCATTGCACACAGTTTTGCATCAAACACAGTTTAAATAATGAAATTCCGATTTTGCAGTAGTTTATGCCCTGCCCAAATACAATGGAAATTTCTGTCTAAATTACAATGAGCATTTTTATTTAGCTCAAATTTGTTTAGTGTTCAGGCATTTGGAATTCAAGAGCCCCTGGTGGCGCAGTGGGTTATACCGCTGAGCTGCTGAGCTTGTTGACCGAAAGGTCGCAGGTTCAAATCCGGGGGTGGCGTGAGCTTCTGCTGTCAGCCCCAGCTTTTGCCAACCTAACAATTTGAAAACATGCAAATGTGAGTAGATCAATAGGTACTGCTCCGGTGGGAAGGTAATGGCACTCCATACAGTCATGCCAGCAACATGACCTTGGAGGCATCTATGGACAACGCTGGCTCTTCAGCTTAGAAATGAGCACCAACCCCAGGAGTCGGACACGACTGGACTTAATATCAGGGGAAAACCTTTACTATTTGTTATTCAACTCAGTTTTTGATATGTACTCCAACAATCTACTTACATCAGAAAGATTGTAATTCCCATTGGTCCATAGAACTATTGATAGGAACATAAGTACAGGACGGAGGAAAGCAAATTGAAAGGTCCCTAGTTTCAGTAAAAATAGTGTTCTCCTGTCAAAAGAAGAAGATAAGGAGAGCATCAAAAATTGAGGCAGACTTTGTGATTCACTGACATATTGGGGTTTATTTTTAAAAAATCCCTAATTAATGGAATATCCAAAGTACATGAATAGTGTCATTATAGAGTTCAATCATTGAGCAGGTAGCGGGACAGTGGGAAGGCCATTTCCAGTAGATCATAGATGTCTACCAGGTTGATAGAAAGAGATAACATGGGCCAGAACCGTATAGGGCTTTGTAGGTCAACAACAACACCAACACAAAATCAGAGTTCATTCTTAATATGGGTTTTGAATGCCTAGAACATAAACTAAGAGCATGAGCTGTTAGTAAGAATGCATCTGCACACATATAAATAGACCTTCATAAAACTGGAAGTCAGTCTATATAACTACCAAGAAGTCTTGATATCTTGCTTTTTTGTATTTTTAATTAGAAATATGGGCGCTGCCTGGCCCATACTCTGGGGTTTCCACTCTATGCAATAATCCAACTACAATGGATAGAGACTTCCTTGCAGATTGTTTAGTGTTGTATTTGAGGTGGTGGCTGCTATCGGAGTACTTCACAAGTGCTATCCTCAAGCCCAGCAGTCTTCTAGTGGAATTAAGTAGTGTTGGGTTGAGAGGCCTGAACTGGAAAGATACATTCCCAGGTCTCAGATGAGACCTGCCTTCCCTCACCCCCACTTTTCAGCATTGCCCTAACTGCCCTCATGCCCTGTGACCCTGCTCAGGAAACCCTACAAATCAACACTCACCCACAATTATGTTTTTCCTTCCTCTCTTTATTTAGCTCTCCAACCTTCTTCACTTTGCACTGCAGACACTCTTGTTAATGAAAGCAAGCTGGTATTTAATGTACTCTGCTATATTAATGAACTTTGGCTTAATATAATTGCTCAATTAATACAGCCATAATTGCATAATAATGATATAATTACTGTGGTAATTTTATTCCTGCAAATAATTACAGAACTATAAACAGTGCAAACAAGTGTACAAATGAGTTGGTAGATCACTTCTTTTTTCTTTCTCAAGGAAACTAAAAAATAGTTCACTCATCAAGGGTATGACAAGCTTCTGGCACAGGCCAAGATCTTACTACCCTCACTAGCTTTGTAGTGTAAAATTATGCCAGCAAAGCTAAGCCAGAGTTCTGCTTAATTATTGTTGTGTGCTTTGAAGTCATTGCTAAGTTATATAAACTGTAAGGAGATCTATAATTGGGTTTTCTTGGCAGGATTTATTCAGAGCGAGCTTCCTGTTGCCTTCTTCTGAAGCTGGAATATTAGCAGTAGTTGCAGAATTGTGTGTAATGTATATTTATCTTTCATTGTGCAGAATTTTCAGGCAGAAATGGGTGGGGCTCTCTTATTTTCCTGTTTCTGAGCAAACAGGACATTTCCTTCCCTTAGCATTCTGAATGGGTAGGTCGTGAAACAAAACTCACCTATTGATGCGTATATATGGGAGACAAAGACAACAGCAGCAACAAGGACCTGTGCTTATCTTGAAATGGTCATTCTCAAAGTGCCTGAGGAAGAGCTTTTGACCCCCACATTCTTTTATCATCATGATCAGAAACTTGTGGATAACTATAGCAAAAAAACTATCAAAAGAAAAACGAACCCAATTATTAACATTTATTTGGTAGCTACATGCCCATATTATGTACAGAAAGGTGCATAAATGTTCACACCACTAAATGTATTGCTGGAACAGGGCGACACTGGAAGGAGTTCTGGAAACATATCCTAATAGTCAGAAAGAACAAAGAATAATATATTTGGTGCATTTATTCCCCTAGAGCAGTGGTTCTCAACCTCTGGGTCACCAGATGTTTTGGCTTTCAACTCCCAGAAATCCTAACAGCTGGTAAACTGGCTGAGATTTCTGGGAGTTGTAGGCCAAAACACCTGGGGACCCTCAGGTTGAGAACCCCTGCCCTAGTCTGTATTCACCTGATTTGCTGAATGACTCCTAGTCGGTGGCCATGTTGATCAGCCTTCCTGCTGGGACTTGAATCCTAGTATTCAGTCATTCTTTCTCTACATTCTGTCTTCCTATCTTTCTCTTCTCTAGTTCTTTCTTCATATATAGCATCCTTTACAGCAATACCTTTTGGTTCTAACAGTGCTTCTCTGTCTCAATTCAAATGGCAGATTTGGAAAGCATTGGGAAAGAGAAGCAAATTCTCATTTACCATCTGCTCACACAGGCCACATTCATGTGTGGCTTTGACAAGGCCCACCATGTGCCATCACATGAAACACAGCAGGTCCTGCTCACTTTCCTCCCAAAGTGGGGGCAAAGTACCGAAAGACACTTTATCCTCTACCATGGAGAGGAAAGTGTTGTGGGGATAGCTCCAACAGAGCTACCTGCACCTTTCGGCCCCAAAATCCCGTGTGATGGCAAAAAGGGTAGTGAAACAATGCACATTGCCACACACTGCAATCTTTTCTGCATTGTGATGGGAGTGGGAAAGGGTGCCAAGACACTTTTTCCTGCCCTCCATGTGTGATGAGAGGAGGAGGGAGGGTGCACATGGTGCCATGAGTTGAGCAGATTGGTCTAAAAAATCATGAGTTCTCACATGTTCGCTCCTTGGCCTTTGCCAGATGTGGTTGCTCCTTGTCCATCCCCCCCCCATTTTTGTAGCCATTTCTTGGATCAAAGGGCTTTTTAAAAAATAACGCATAATTTTCTAATGTATTTGAAGTACATATTTTCTGCTCATTTTTAAAGGAAGTTTTTCCCCCCACTGCACAAGAACACCTCTAAAGGGGGCATAAGGTTAGGTTATAAAATTGTTTTATTTCTGTTTTTTTTCTTTGCAATTAATAATATTATTCCAGGATATATCTTTATTTCAAATCAAAACCTTTGAAATATCTCAGTCACATAAAACAGTTATACATTGCCAATGTTCTTAAAACTGTTACTAACTGCAATTAAAATTCAGTTTCTGTAATTAAACATCAGTCTAGTTCAATAAAAACCCAGAATTTAAAGATAAAAATGGGAGATATTTATTTGAGCTCAGTCGGTACCATATGGAGGCATTAACATATAAACTTATTGTCCATTCAGTATAATGGATAACTGGGTTGTTGTAGATTTTTCGGGCTGTATGGTCATGTTGTAGAAGCATTCTCTCCTGATGTTTTACCTGCATCTATGCCAGGCGTCCTCAGAGGCTGTGAGGCCTCACAACCTCTGAGGATGCCTGCCATAGATGCAGGTGAAACATCAGGAGAGAATGCTTCAAGAACATGGCCTTACAGCCCGAAAAACCTGCAACAACCCAGTGATTCCAGCCATGAAAGTCTTCGACAATAATGGATAACGTTCACAAGGTATTTCGTATTCCATTAGTTCCTGATGCTGGGCATATTGTTCTTAATTTTTCCTTTTATATCCAAGAACTGACCACTTTTGACATACAGATCTCCAACTTGGGTATAATTCAATATTGATTAACCTTCAACATTAAAAAAAACAGATTTCCATGGTGCGCTATTAAGAAAAGACTGGTGAAATGTCAAAGGTTAATATTTTGTTTTTGTAAGACATTCTTGAGAATAATAATAATAAAAAATCCCTTTGTTTTGAGTCCAGCAGCCAAATGAATATAGAAGCTTTTAGGGTATGAACTAAAGAATATAATTCTCTTCAAATATATACAATCTGTCAACATTCAGTTCCTTTATTTAACTAGCAGTTTCTACACTACCATAAGAGACTGAGTTAATGCCATTTTTCTGACCTGATAAGGGACTTTGTTTCTATGGAACAAAGCGAAGTTCAACAAAATAACTATATGTTTGCTAAGTGCTTGCAATTTTTAACATCAAAACAGCCCTGAGTTCAAAAATACCTGTAAGAACAGGAAAAAACACATACACGGCAGCAGTAAAATCTGTAAACATTGTTGAACGAGGAATCCACATTCCAATGCAGGATGTTGTAGCGATCACCTATTGAAAACAGAAAGTAGACATATTGTCTCAGGTAAAACAGATTTATAAATTCTAATAGAGGTAATTAATTCTCTACATAGGAAGAAGTAACATTGTCTCAATTCTAAATTTTAATTGGTGCTTGAAATAAAAAGGCATAAAGTGCTTAGGCTTCATTGTTCAGTGTAGACCAATATAATGCGGTTCAATGCAGTTCAAGATATGGTCAATCTATAAACCAATCATTATATGGTCAGTGTAGACCAGTGGTTCCCAACCTGTGGGCTGTGGTCCAGCAATGGGCCATGAGAATGAAAATCTGGTCCACAGCCACCCTTCCTCTTTATTTATTTATTTTATTTTATTTCTGCTCCTTTCCACAGAGCTGACCAGTTATGCCCCTTTTGGTACTAATGTTGGAGAGTGGTCCCTGGTCAAAGTGGTTCCCGGTCAGATGGTCCCTGGTCAAAGTGGGCCCTGGTCAAAGTGGTTCCTAGTCAAATGGTCCCTGGTCAAAGTGGTCTCACCCTGGTCAAAGTGGTTCCTGGTCAAAGTGGTTTCTGGTCAAGTGGGCCCTACTCAAAGTGGTCCTTGGCAGGGCCGTAGCCAGGATTTCGTTTTGGGGGGGTGTGTGAATTTTTTTCAGGGGGGGGTTCGGGGGGGCTGAGTTTGGGGGGGGCTGAGTCTGAGTGAAAGAGGGTCTAGCCTAGCAAACCTTTTGTATCATTACCCCAATACCCCCATGCATATGGGATATATTGAGTATGGTGATCATCATGATATGAATAAACATAACAGTTTAAATAATGCACCAGTAAGGCCTTTTCGCGAACCACCATGAGAATTTCGGGGGGGGGGGACTGAAGCCCCTCAAGCCCCCCCCCCCCCCCGGCTACATGCTTGGTCCTTGGTCAAAATGGTTCCCAGTCAAGTGATCCCTGGTCAAAGTGGTCCCTGGCCAAAGTGGTCCCTGGTCAAAATGGGCCCTGGTCAAAGTGGGCCCTGGTCAAGCGGGCCCTGATCAAAGTGGTCCCTGGTTAAAGTGGTCCAACCCTGGTCAAAGTGTGCCCTGGTCAAGTGGACCCTGATCAAAAAAAGGTTGAGAACCACTGGTGTAGACCCATATAATGTAATTCAGTGTATCAAATTGCATTAGATCCAGCCTTTGAGAAACATGTCTCCCCAATATTAGGATATTGGAATGTCTCTTCCTGCATTCCTTTGTCTCCCTTGTATCTTCCTGTCTGTCTCATGCATGAAAAAATAATTTATACTGATTTTAATGGCCTGGATAGTCATCTTTATAATAATAGGAAAACTTCAAATTATCTATCCTGATAGTTGTTCTCTGAGAACACATGCCTAGCTAACATAATGCTTTGAAACTGCATCAGCGTTAATAATAGGGAGACTGGAGCTGCCCTGCCGTTTCTGGGAAATCAATTGACAATGTTCTTAATTCTGGTAGTTCAGCAGGCCAGATGTAAGATGCTGCCATACAAGACATTTAGCATAGAATTGTCCCACTTTATACTGCTTCCATGCAATACCACTATGCAGTAGTTGTTATCCCTGCCCACCCCCTCCCCCGCGCGCCTTAGTTCTTCCCTCTTTTTCCTAGACTTCAGAAAGTCCACCTTCCTCCAGAATCCAAGATTCATATTCAGCGTTCTAAATTTGAGAACTAATAAGTATTTTACTGGTAAAATTAATTCATTCCACTTACTGGAGCTGCTGCATTTATCCAAATAAAAATTGATCTTTTGGAGGAGGGAATTTTATGGTAGATGTAGCAAACTTCTTCCACAAAAACCAGGTTGGCAACCACTGTCATTAAAGTCAGCAGGGCAAACAGCCATATTCCCATTAAGCCAAGGTCTGAAGGAATGAAAAGGTATTGAAATAACAACTGCACCTCATAACATAATACAATGCTTTAATGTGGTAAAAGAAAAATATATTCTCAACCTTCATTAAGGCATATAGGATATAGTTCCTTAGACAACACATTTTCTTGCAGAGCTCAGAAAGAACTAGCAAGATAGGCATTTTATGACATTGTCACCTGAAGAGTTGTAAACAATATACCTGCATTTCTGCCATGTACATTTTAAACCACACAATAATATTAGCATTTCTAACAAAGAACTTGTGTTGTTGTATTTATTAGATAAATTAAAGCAAGGAATAAAGCAAATAGTAAATATAGCAAGGTAAGTGACCAGTCCAGGAGGGTGATTGGTGGTTGACTGACTTTAGCTAGATGAAAAATCCTAGGAAGAAAATATTTGCACTTCCATATAATGCAGTTTGCAACTGCATGACGTAGGGCCCTTCCAGACAGGCCCTATATCCCAGGATCTGATCCCAGGTTTTCTGTTTATCCTAGATTATCTGGCAGTGTGGACTCATATAATCCAGTTTAAAGCTGAAAACCTGGGATCAGATGCTGGGATATAGGGCCTGTCCGGAAGGGCCCCTAGTCAGTTGTATACTTATATAATGCAACTGGGGTTACCTAGGGTCACTCAGGATTTAGAAGTAGTAATAATGATCCTTTTAATGCTGCGGTCAGCTTCTATTTAATAAACCCTTTTTGCGTTATACACATAAGAGTTACTGGAATGATTGAGTCCAGCAACACAGAGTTTGTGGTGACAGAAGTTATTCAATTGTCTAGTAGGTAAATTAGGTAAAATCCCTCACTTGAACCACAAAGCCATCTAACAGGTCAGTGATATAGGAATGGGACAGGAGGAGGATCTCACATTGGTGGTAGAAGTTAGTGGAAGCCTTTGAGGGGACACCGTATGCAATTCCACCTTGGGTAGCAATGTGTCTTGAGCCAATCCAGTCCATACATACATACATACATACATACATACATACATACATACATACAGTGTTAGATTCATTTTTAACATGCAGGTCTGCTAGTGTCATATATCATGTGGCATGTTCCTTAAGCGAAGTATTTCTGACACACTTAAAAGCTTCTAGTGAGTTAATGGTTGAAAAAAGAACAAGGTCTAACACTTACTGACTCTCCAAGTCAGGGTGAATCCTACATCAGCCTCGAGATCCTAATTTTATTTTTCCACATAAACTGAATTATTCACCCAAGTAAGTGAGGTCAAAAGTTTGTGTAGCTTGTCTAGCTGTATTTTCCCCAAATGCTACAAAACCAGTTGACTGACAATAAATCTTATCTATGGTTGCTGAGAAATAAAACAAATATTACAGCTGTAAATGATTTACTGGGCAAATTCCAAATTTCTTTCTTATTTAGGCATCATCCTATTTTCATTACAATACTAGGAACCAGGCCTGTAGCGAGGGGGTGGTTTTAGGGGTTCAACCCCCCCCCGAAATGTTTCAGATTTTTTAAAAAAAACCTGGTTTACTCATGAATTTTAATTGGTTAACCAAATCCTCATGCTAAGTCTATGAGATGCAAAAAATTAGAGTCCCTCCAGAACTGCAAGCACTATCTCAAGCAAATATTGACAATTTATTCACACTGTCATTACTTGCAGCAATAGCCGATGTAGCGAAGCAACCAAGTTGGGGGGGGGGTGTTGAATGCTCTCATTAAGGAGGCCAGACTTGGTGGAGGTGGTTGACAGGGGCGGAGCTGCAGGCTATTGAAGGCTGCTCTGCCCCCTACTGTGCTCTTTGCTTCAGCGTGAGCTAGGAGGCAAGTTTCAAGCCCCCCACAAAATTTTCACACACCCCGCCCGAAAATTTCAACCCCTCCCGAATTTTTTTTCTGGCTACGGCCCTGCTAGGAACATATTCAGAAGGACTTATGGGTTTTTTTTAAGGTGTTGGAGATGGGTAGTTGAAAATTTAAGAGTTGTATTTAATGCTTTCTGTCCACCAGAGGAATAAGGAGCTGTGGTGGCCCAATGGGTTAAATCCTTGTGCCGACTGAACTTGATAATTCATAGAATAATAGAGTTGGAAGAGACCACATCGGCCACCTGAAGGTTCCCGGTTTAAATGTACGAGACAGAGTGAGCTCCCGTCTGTCAGCTCCAGCTTCCCTTGCAGGGATATGAGAGAAGCCTCCCAACGATGGTAAAACATCCGGGCATTCCCTGGGCAACGTCCTTGCAGACGGCCAATTCTCTCACACCAGAAGCAACTTGCAGTTTCTCAAGTTACTTCTGACATTATAATAAAAAAATAAAACAGAAGAACAGAAAGCACAGATTGAAAAGCTTCCTCTCTTCACTACTAACTGCCACATGGATTTCTTTCAAATCTATTCCATAGCATTAGGGTAGGTGAAGGTAAAGGTTTTTCCCTGACATTAAGTCCAGTTGTGTCTAATTCTGGGGGATGGTGCTCATCTTCATTTCTAAGCTGAAGAGTCGGTGTTGTCTGTAGACACCTCCAAGGTCATGTGGCTGACATGACTGCAAGGAGTGCCGTTACCTTCCTGCCGGAGTGGTACCCATTGACCTACTCACATTTGCATGTTTTTGAGCTGCTAGGCTGACAGAAACTGGGGCTGATAGTGGAAGCTCACGCCGCTCCTCGGATTTGAACCTGCAACCTTTCGGCCAACAAGTTTAGCAGCTCAACAGTTTAGCCCACGGGAGCGCACTTCAAAAATATGAGCTACTGCAGAAGACAGTAAATCTCTAGATTGGACTATTGCAATACACTCTACGTGGGGCTGCCCTTGAAGATGGCCTGGAAACTCCAATTGGTCCAACGGGCGGCAGCCAGATTATTAACTGGTGCGAATTACAGAGAGCGGTCAACCCTCCTGTTTAAGGAGCTCCACTGGCTGCCATTTATTTTCCGGGCCCAATTCAAGGTGCAGGTTTTGACCTACAAAACCCTGAATGGTTTGGGACCCACCTACCTGCGCGACCGCATTTCTATCTACGAACCCACACGACCTCTTTGACCTCCCGGAGAGGCCCTTCTCTTGCTCCTGCCTGCATTGCAAGTGCAACTTGTGGGGACAAGAGAGAGGGCCTTCTCTGCGGTGGCCCCCCAGCTCTGGAATTCATTCCCCAGAGACATTAGGCGAGCCCCCACGCTGGCAATCTTCAGGAAGAACCTGAAAACCTGGTTATTCCAATGTGCCTTCAGTGATTGAATGTAAGATATTCCCTGACCAAACTTTGCATAAAATGACCTCAGAAGCACTTTATTTTATGGTTCGTGCAATTAAATCCTTCCTTATCCCCGGATCCTCCTCCCAATAACTTATACTGTCCTATCTCCCAGTGTTTTAATTTTTTTTTCATTGAGTTTGGCCCTGCCCAGCCTAATCCTTTGTGTTTTAATGTTTGATTTGCTTTTGCTGTTTGCTTATTATATTGTTTTTGCATTTTATGTATTTTATTTTCTGGTTTTGTTATGTTTTTGTGTTATATTGTGTTACTGTATTGTTGGGCGTGGCCTCATGTAAACCGCACTGAGTCCCTCTGGGGGGAGATGGAGCAGGGTATAAATAAAGTTTTATTATTATTATTATTATAAAGCAAGGAGTCCCTCCAGATGCCTGTTGCATGACAATGGATAGAACTAGGGTTGCTAGGGTACCTTATTATAAGGGATGTCCCTTATTTGGGGGCAAGAAAGCTTGCCATATTTTGGATTGCCAGGTTTCCCTTTATTATAACAGAAGAGTCCTGTTTTATGTGTGAAAAGCTTTTCCTTTTATATAAACAAGATTGAACAAGATGTAAAAACACATACAGTACTTACAATGTCAGGCTGCAGTGACCAGACAGTAAATGCAACTAAGTTTGAGCTGGGAATTTATGGGATACTACTCTAGCCCAGTGCTACACAAATGGTGGTCCCTGGACTGATGCCAGTCCCTGAGCCAATGGATCCGATGAGTTTCCAGGAAAGAAGGAAACCATTTCAGTCAATGGACACAAACATGGTCTCAATCCCTGGAACACTGAGAATATCAGATTCCCTGAAAAGCACTGCTCTGGCTGTGTGTTCCTGCCCACAACTGGTAAACAGCAGCTGCCTTCAGAATACCTCATGGAGCATATGAATAACTAAAGAAATAAGGACAGCAGATATGCCTGTCTCGCCAGCTAAAAACCATATATCTGTAAGTTTGGCCACCAAAATGAAGATACAAAAAAACAGCAGCTGGCAAAACAAAAAGTCATCCATCTATGTATTTCAATAGAATCTTTCAAGTGGTCTGTAGAAAGTTCAAGATGTTTTTGTTTACTTACACAAAATTTAGCTTACCTGACTTATTTATTTCACATCTGCGTATTGCTAATTTTGAAGAAAATGTTTACTGAAACATGTTGACTGGTTCTATTTGTGTGGATGTGTAGTGTGTAGAGACTCATCTCTGTGGGGTTGTTGTGAGTTTTCCGGGATATATGACCATGTTCCAGAAGCATTCTCTACTGATGTTTCGCCTGCATTTATAGCAGGTATCATCAGAGGTTGTGAGGTCTGTTGGAAACCGGGAAAATGGGGTTTATATATCTGTGGAATGTCCAGGGTAGGAGAAAGAACTCTTGTCTGTTTGAGGTAGGTGTGAATGTTGCAATTGAACACCTTGATAAGCATTTAATGGCTTAACAGTTTCTTACTGCCTGAGGTAATCCTCTCTTGGGAGGTGTTGGCCCTGTTTGTTTCTTCTCTGGAATCCCCCTGGTTTTTTTTCCAACAGCCCTCACAACCTCTGAGGCTGCCTGCCATAGATGCAGGTGAAACATCAGGAGAGAATGCTTCTGGAACATGGTCATATATCCTGGAAAACTCACAACAACCCAGTGATTCCAGCCATTAAAGCCTTCAACAATACTTGTCCCTATTCTTTCCATGCTATTTATGCTTCTGGTATTAGATTTTTAGTTAACAGACACATCTATTTTGCATTAACTGAAATATATCTGTATTCAACACAATCTTTGCTGACCCTTTTTAGACCACTCTGGTAAACCTCATTTAAAAAGTAGGTCAGTTCAAAATCAGTAGTGACACACAGACACACTTCTGTAAACATGTCTTTTTGATCATACTGAAACAACAAAAGGCATTCTTTCTACAGGTTTTCTGTTTCATTAATTAACCATTAGAAAACTTACTTTCCAAGACTATTTTGGAGAATGGTGGTTCATCCGCAGAACAGGCCGGATCTAACGTGCTATTAGTTTCGGCTTCTTTCATTGCAGGGAATTCTTTTCGAGGACTTGTGTCCTTGTTTCCTCTCTCCGCTTCCTTTCTTTCTCTGACTGCAACAAGCCAGCAGTAAGGACGAACGAGAACAGTGCACTACGCCTGGCTTCTCTTTTTCCTTTCAGGAAAGCATCACTGGCTGAGTTTTGTGGCTAATACACCAAATGCTGATATTTTGACTTGTCCTGATGTCCTGCTACTTCCAAATCCCACAAGATAAGAGGTAACTAAACCTGTTAGCAAAATGCTAGGATTAGTGGCAAGAGAGTGACAAATCACAGGCAGCCAACTAAAAGGAAGCCAAAACAGAAAGAAACAAAGAAATCTGGCACTTAAAGGGCTATTTGATCTTACCACACCTTTTCCGTCAACTGTTACCTCCTTCATTTCTCTCAGCAGGTTGCAATGTTGTAAACAGTTCTGCACAAAGAATGTCATTGTGCTTTATTGTTTTTGCTTTTGTTAGATTGGTATTTTAATATTGCTCTTCTTGTTATCAGTATGTTACCCATGAATGCTCTTACATAAAAAAAGAGAACCAGCCAATAATAAAGCAAACTTTTATTTAATGGCATTCAGTCCTTCCCCACAGTGGTTTCTCTGCCCACAAACCCTGAATTCCCGAAAGAGGTTGGAAAAATTGCTTCTCTGGATTACAGTGCCCAAAAGGCACAGCCAGTGGCCAAGGATTTTCCTTCTCCTTTCAGTGGCGCAATGGGTTAAACCCTTGTGCCGGTTGAACTGCTGACCTGAAGTCCTGAATGTCGGTGGTTCGAATTCACAAGACAGGGTCAGCTCCCGTCTGTCAGCCCCAGCTTCCCATGTAGGACATGAGAGAAGCCTCCCACAGGAGGGTGCCACATCCGGGCATCCCCTAGTCAATGTCCTTGCAGATGACCAATCCTCTCACACCAGAAGCGACTTGCAGTATATTCTCAATTTGCCTCTGACATGAAAAAAGTATAATGTGTAATAAAGGTTTGTTTGTTTGTTTTTTTACCAGTTCTTGATCTCATCTAAAGTAATCAAATATCATCCATTACCCCAGAAGGATCAATAGGAAATAGCAACATAGATAATGATTTTTATTTGATTTTATTGTCTTTTGCAGTAGTGTGCAACTCTGTGTTTATTTAAAAAAAACCTGGTAAACTGATATGCTAGAGATGTCATATATTTGGGAAAAAATACAGCTGATGCTCCAGTAACACCACAGTGCCATGTTGTGGTATTTCAAGCCATTATAATTGAACTCTATATGGTGTACTTAATACCTTAAATTACATGCTTCCTCTAATTTCAATCTAGCTGTTCTAATAATACCAGAGACGTTTGCTTGAAGTAATTTGACAAAATAAAATTGTAAATAAAGGGCATGAATTAACTTAAATTAAGCACAAAAGCTTTATTCCTATGAAGGAATTAAGGATGTGTTTATATCCACTGCGCTGGAATCAAAGGGACTTTTCCTGATTTGAGTCGTGTTCTTGTAATTGCCTGAAATATAAATGTTAACTGATAAGCTATTCTGGTGTACAGAGATTGACCTTTTCAAGTATGCAGTTTTTGCTGATTCTGCTTGGCACTATGAGGTACTTAAATATCCCTCATTTCAGCAGTGACAAAGGTACAATTTCTGCAGATGGAACATTGATAAGATTCCAGATTTTTCTGAACTGTACAACTTCCAGCTGTGGTTGTTTTATGTCTGAATCTTCTTCCTTGCATATGGAAAATCAAAGCATCAGTCATGAGGCAAGATACAAACTTGTCTTTTCTTTAATGTCCTATGTTCCCAAGTGCAGGAATCCCTGCTCTCAAGACGAGCACACACACAAAGTAGTACAGTTCCTTTCAAAAGTACAATCTTTTAAAGGACTTCATCAGACGGGTAGGAGGGAGGCAGGAGAAAGTGTTGGGAAGAGTGGGACCCATCTTACCGCATTTTCTCCCAGCGAGGTCCATCTTTGAGAATGGTCAGCCATCCCATGTCTTTCCCCGTCTTCTTCCCACTTCCTCCTGCTTTCTTGAATTGGAGTCTTCTCTCCATTTTAGTATGCTGGCAAGACAGATTCCCACTGACGGCCACAAGAAGTGACCCATGCATCATGCAGAAACACTGCTTTATAGCCTACAGGGTGATACAATTTCTCCATTACAGAACTTACTCCCTTCTTTGTCCACATGGTATCAGCATGTGGACAAACTTTTAAAGACTGGACTTTTGCAATGCATGGTGCATTGGGTTAGCTTCGTACAAACTTGGGAAACTTTAAAACATGGAGTTAGATTGGCTTCAGGCACACCTAAGAGTGAGTGTATTGCACCAATATTAAAAAATCACTCAATTGGCTGCCAATTAGTTTCAGGGAAAGGTACCCTGTGTTGCTTGTTATGTTGAAACCCCAAATGGTGTGATCCAGATCACCTATGGGATCACTTCCTCCTATATAATCCACTCCATATGCTCAGGTTCTCTGTGTGCCATCGATTTCAGGCAGGAAAAACTAGGCTGACAACTGTTTGGTACTAATGGTCAGAGTGATCCCTGGTCAAGTGGTCTCCAAAGCTTCTCTTTCACGTTCAAGACCCTACAGCAAGCATGGGCAAACTTCAGCTCTCCAGGTGTTTTGGACTTCAACTCCCACAATTCTTAAGCGGCTGAGGGGGAAAGGGAAGGGGCCTGAGGGTCGACCTCTGTGGGACTCTATTTTATCAGCCTGCTAAAACAGAGAGAAAAAGAAGAAAAACATCCATGTGATGAGGTCCTAAGAAACAAATCATAAAGTCATTTTTCCATTGTAACAAATGTTTGAATGGTTGTCAGGCCTCAACATTGTCTTCTGGGAATTATTGGATTGCAACTCAGAAAAGCCTTAGCCAGCATATCCAATGGTAAAGGGTGTCACATCCCATTAGTGTATAGAGGGTAAGGTATTCCTCAACCCTGGGAATGTGGGGAAAAGATACTAGGAACTAGGAACAATGATCTATTAAGCTGTTCTTGCTTATTTTCCTCCAATTCGTGTGTCTCCTCCTCAATTTTCTAAGTCAAATGGAATATTGAATATTTTGTTTTGAAGGAAGAAACCCCAGATGTTGGTGACTTTCCCACTACTGGGAATCTAGCCTGAATTTTAAAGATATTCAAGATAGTAAACCCCTTTAACTCAAAATGGTCTAGTACCTTGGAGAGCTCTTCCCTTAAATGGACCCACCAGCTGCCCGTGTAAAGAAGTTTGGAGTGTGTTACTTATTCACCTAAATGTCTTGAAGTTAAACACTAAAGCTGAGTAATTAAGGACAGGGAAGAAATACCTTCCTCTTGAATTCATTTAATAATTACTGGTATAGCAATTGGTGTCATTGTCTCATAAACTATCATGCTAATTTTCAAGACTCAGAACTTGGAATTCTGTTACCATTACCTTACAATGAAAAGTCTCATTACCCTACAATAACTAACACTTTTATTTTCAGAAACTGAAGAAGAAACACAGCCATTTTTAAAACTACATAGTTACTCTGCAGTCCATTCAAACATTCACCTGGAGAACAACTCTTTTCCTTTTATACAGGAATTTCTTCAAGACTATTCTTGACAGAATTCTGGGAAGCAATAGACATTCCAAGAATGTGATGGCACAATGCGGAAAACACTAGAGTTCGGTGTAGCTATAAATGGCTATAGCACAGTAGCAAGAAACATCACATGCTTTTATTCAGCTGCTCAGTGTCCTTTACATGCAGGTGTTCACCATGCGCAGATGTAGTAAGTGCTGAGTATATTTTTTTGTTATCAAACAACTGTGTTCATAACTTCTGAATAGTTTGAGATATTGTAATGAAACATTGTACCAAAAGACTCCTGTTCTTTGAGATCAACTCCTTCCTTCCTTCCTTCCTTCCTTCCTTCCTTCCTTCCTTCCTTCCTTCCTTCCTTCCTTGATTCCACAGACCAAAGGTTAATAATGGCTGGTCTATATGTTTCAGTAGCATCTATGGTTTATACCAAGGATAGTGAACCCATAGTCTATGTGTTACTTGTGGCCTTTGAGACCCTTTATAGCAGTAGTTCCCAACCTGTGGGTCCTCGGATATTTTGGTCTACAACTCCCAGAAATCCCAGCCAGTTTACAAGCTGTTATTATTTCTGGGAGTTGAAGGCCAAAACATCTGGGGGCCCACAGGTTGAGAAACACTGCTTTATAGCCTACAGGGTGATACAATTTCTGTGTACTTTCCTTCTCCATTATAGAGCATCCTCCCTTCTTTGTCCCCATGGAATCAGCATGTTGACAAAGCATTTGGACTTCTGCAATGCACTTTACATTGGGTTATCTTTATGCAAAGTTTGGAAACTTCAAAACATGGAGTTAGATTGGCTGCAGGCACACCTAAGAGTGAGCATATTGTACCAGTATTAAAAATCACTTCATTGGCTGCCAATTAGTTTCAGGGCAAGGTACCCTGTGTTGGTTGTTATGCTAAAACCCCAAATGATGTGATCCAGATTACCTGTGGGATCACTTCCTCCTATATAATATGCTCCATATGCTCAGGTTCTCTGTGTGCCATTGACTTTAGACAGTGAAAACTAGGCTGACAACTGTTTGGTACTAATGGTCAAAGTGATCCCTGGTCAAGTGGTCCCTGGTCAAGTGGTCTCCAAGGCTTCTCTTTCATGTTCAAGACCCTACAGCAGGCATGGGCAAACTTCAGCTCTCCAGGTGTTTTGGACTTCAACTTCCACAATTTCCTAAGTGGCTTAGGGGAGAAAGGAAGGGGTCTGAAGCTGTTAGTAATTGTGGGAGTTGAAGTCCTAACCTGGTGGGCTGAAGTTTGCCCATGCCTGCTGCAGGGGCTTGAACATGAAAGAGAAGCCTTTGGAGACCAGGGTGCGAGGGGGGAGGAGGCTTGAAAATAAGTTGAAGAAGCAACAGCCAAGGCCAGCCCAAGACATATTTTGCCTGATCCCAAGTGCCAAAATCCCCACCACCACAACACACAACACATCAAGGTATATAGTATCAAAACCCAGACAGACCATTTTGGCACATGAAACAGAATCACTCTTTGCCCTGTCAGTAAAAAATGCAAATAACTAACAATTGGCCGTTTTCCCGTGACTTAACAAATCTTTTGCTTGAGGCCATTTCCTCATTATAGCAGTTGGCCCGGTCATAGAAGCAGCCTAAAAGAAGGTATAAATTAACTGGTAGGCAGGTGCAAAATGGAAATTTTGAAAGTGGCTTTATCACAGGCTGATTAGTTAAAATGCTCTTCCTT